GACGACGACGACGGCGACGACGACGACGACGACGACGACGACCGCACGCCTACGACCGCAACGACGACGACGAACTCGGCGACGACGACGACGACGACGACGACGACGACGACGACGACGACGGCGCCGGCGCTAGCGGTGGCGGGCGGCGACGGCGACGATGACGCCGACGACCGACAACGACGACGACGTCAACGACGACCACGACGACGACGACGACGACGACGACGACGACGACGACGACGACGACGACGACGACGGCGACGGCGACGGTGGCGGCGGCGGCGACGACGACGACGACGACGACGACGACGACGACGACGACCGCCAACGACGACGACGCCGACGACCGCCAACGACGACGACGATGACGTCGACCTCGACGACGACGACGACGACGACGACGACGACGACGACGACGACGACGACGACGACGACGACGACGACGACGGCGGCGGCGGCGGCTGCGACGACGACGACGATGGCGGCGGCGGCGAGATTCGAGAAGGGTCTTGCCACTCCTGGCCTCGGCAAGCCCCCGTTTCGGTCCCAGGCTGTCAAAAACATGCTTCCAATGCTTCCAGGGTGAAGAAGTTGGCAGAGTGGACCTTTGGAGGGGTCAGGAGATCGCTTTTGACACGGCGGCGGCGACGACGACGACCTCCTCATTCTCTTCTACCTGACGCTCGGCCCTCCTCCTCCAGCTCCTGCCCCTCCCTTCGCACCCTGCTACCTCTCGTGCTCCTCATCCATCCTCGGTGGAGGAGCAAGAGGGAGGAAAGGAGGAGGAGGAGGAGGAGGAGGAGATGGGGTTTGGGAGGGGGTACGCGAGGGACGGAGGACGACGACAAGGGAGCAGGGCGACGACGAGAGAGAGGAGGAGGAGGAGGAGGAGGAGGAGGAGGAGGAGGAGGAGAACGATGAAGAGGTGCGAGGATCGGCTCGGCCAGCGCGCGGGCAGACGCACGGGCGGGCGGATGGGCGAGCGGGCAGGCAGGCGGGCGGGGCGCACGGGCACGCGGGCGGGCGGGTGAGCGGACGGGCGGGCGCGCGGACGAGCGTGGCGGGCGGGGGCAGAAAACGGGTGGTTTTTCTCAGGCGATCGCAGACATGGATTGGAAGGGGGGCGTGGATTAGCGACGGCTCCCGTTTCCATGGGGAACCGCGGATTGCCGCCGCCGAGCGAGGCGGCACCGGCCGCATTTTGGGGATGGTATCTCCCCCGATCAACGGATTTGGCGACCGCGCGCCAAATCCATGGATCGCTAATCCATGTTTGCGCGCCCCCGAGTTTTTCTGACCCGTGCGTTGCCACGTGGCGAACGTGTGGCAGACGCACATGGCCAACGTGGTCGGTGGGTGCTCGAGGTGGTCGGTGGTAACGGTGCCGTGAAGGGCGGCTTGAATCACACGATTTTGCTGGAGCATTTGCAGTCGCACGACCTTGCGTTGCCACGCAATGTCTCGCCCCAAGCGTTGCCATGGGAAAGTGAAAGCAACATGCCACGTATTTCTACCCCCTGCGTTGCCACGTCACGATTAGGGTAGAGTCTGAGTTGTTTTACGCCCATCTGCGCTGCCACGTCGCGAGCACGATCGACAAATATAACTCGCTCCCCCAAGCGCTGCCATGTGAGGAGTGGAGCAGAATATCATTTGTATCCGGACACCTGCGATGCTACGTAACGGGGAGGAAAATGTTGAGTTCCAGCCCGCCTGTTTTGCCATGCGTTGTTGTTGCACCATGCGAAGACACTGAATACTAATTGTTTCCGCACCCTGCGTTGCCACGTGACGAGTAGAGTAGAGTAGTATTTGTTCCACCCTTGCCACCCCTTTCACATGGGGAGAGACCCTCCTCTAGTTGTGTCGAACTGCCGCATCTCGTCGTCATCGTCGGCGAAACCGCCCCCTCTTACTCGCATGCTGCGATGAGAAAGTGAAATTGTGAGCTTCGCTCCCAGGCGTCGCCCCGTGACTGGCAGAGGGAAATATATTGTGTTCCCCCCTACATGGCGAGTAGAATAAATACGCATGCTGGTTTCCTCCCCTGTGTTGCCATGTGGTGACGCGAACTGGGTAGCAGTTTTCGCCTCCCAGGCGTTGCCACCTGAGATGAAGCATAATACCATTTTGTCTTGCTTCGTTGCGTTACCACGTGACGAATAGAGCAGAATGGTATGTGTTATGGCCCGTGGTTTGCATCGTGGCGAGTTGAATATAATAGTAGTTGGTTCGCTCCCCCCAGGCGTTGTCATGCAATTGGTAGTGCAGCATACTGTGTGTGTCCGCCCTTTGTGTTGCCACGTGACCATTTGAGTAGAATTGATTAGTTGATCTGGTCCCTTGCGTTGCCGCGCGGCGAATAGGATGCAATAGTTGCTGTTTGCCCCCATAAGCATTGCCACATGAAAATATAGCAGACGACGACTTGTTTCAGCCCCCCCGCGTTGCCACGTGACCAGTAGGGTAGACTAATCGAAGACGCCTACGGCAAGTCACGCCGCCCCCTGCCTTTTAGAAACGCCAATGTGGCCAAACGTTGAGCCGATGTGTTGGGCCAAAGTCTGGCCAAGCTATTGGACGGTGTGTGTCCCCCAGCCGTTGTGGCATCCCTTGGGGGAACACGAGCATTTGAAAGAGGAAGAAAAAGGAGGAGGAGGAGGAGGAGGAGGACAGGAGGACGAGGAGTAGGAGGATGAAGAAGAAGAGGATTCCTCTTGAGGCCCTCTTGAGGCATCCTGGGGGCTTCCTGGGAGCCGCTTGGGGGCCTCCGAGAGCCTCTAAGAAACCTCTTGGCCTTCGGAGGCCGTCTTGGGGCCCTCTCTGGACAGTCTTGGGTCCATCTTTGGGCGCTTTAGGGCCGTCTTGAAGGTCTATGGGACCCTCTTGGGCCGTCTTGCGGGACTCCTGGAGGTTCTCTTGGAGCCCTCTTGGGGCGTCATGGGACATTTTGGGTCGTCTGGGAGACATATTTGGCCGTCTTTGGGTCATTGTGGCCGTCTTGGAGGCCATTTTGGGCCATCTTGGCTCTCTTGGAGGCATCTTGGAGGCCATTTTGGCAGTCTTGGAGAGATTGTGTGTAGACATTGAGGTCTTTACGAGTCCTTCCGCGCGGCTGGCACGATCGACAGGGGCCCCAGTGGAAGCCTTAGAATACGAAACAACCCAACATTTGGCACGCCGTGCATCCCTATGGCAAGCCACAGGGGGCGGCGGATCCAGTGGCATTCGGCCCATCCCGCCACCGCGCCTGGATTCAAGGTCAGAGGTCTCTTGAATGCCTGTGGGGATCTCTCTGGAGGCCTCTCGGAATCCTCGCTGAGGCGGTTCGAGGGCGCATTGGGGGGCCTCCTTGCAGGTTTCTTAGAGGCCTCGTAGGACCTGATTTAGGCGCTTTGGGGGCCTCCTGGGGTTTCTGGGACGTCTCTTCGGGGCCTGCTGACGGTCTCGGGGGTCATCTTGGGCGGAGAGCTCGACATGTCGGTCCGTGCTCCCTCTCTTGGGGGCCTCTTAGGCCATCTGGGGGCTCTCTTGGGGGCCCTCTTGGGCCGTCTTGGGACGATCTTGGGGGCCTCTTGCGCCGTCTTGGAGCGTCAGGAGCCCGAAAAGGCCAGAACACTAAAATCAAAAAGTTTGGCCTCTTGGGACCCTCTTGGGGAGGCTCTCTTGGGGCATTTTTGGGGCTTTGAAGCCATCATGGGCATCTTGGAGCGCTCTTGGGCCTACTCGGGGCCCTCTTGGAACGTCCTGGGGGCTGCTTGAGACTCTCCTGGCTTGTTTTGGGGCCATCTGGCCTCCAAGAAAAGTCTGGCGGGAGCACGCCCTGGCACGCGAGAAGCCCTTGGGCACTCACGACCGAGGACGGAGGGCCCAAGGGACCCGAGGACACTTCAACTCGTGCTTCGGGGCACGGTGGCGGACGATTGTCAATGATAAAAAACTCTTCGGACTCGGTAATAATTCTTACTCTCTCGAGATATGTCGAGCTTGATCACCCTAATCGATTCGAAAGCCTCGAAAGTATCCGCCCCCGTGCGCTGCCACGTAGCGATTCGATTGTCGAGGACTCACGAACGATCAGGATTCGCCTCGACGAAGGACAGCATATGGGCCTCCGCTCGCTCCAACCGGCCCTGGATCAGCTGAGATATTCCACGGAGGGGCGTTGTCGGCTAAGCGTAAGAGTGACCTTTCGCCGGAGTGACCTGTGGTGCGGGCCCACTGGGGCCCCCCGATCGTCGAACGAGATGCGATTGTTGCGTTTCGCGCGCCTGTGTCTGGTCCCCCCGCGGCCCCCAAAAAGCCGCGCACCAAAGGTCACTCTTACCCAGGGTCACTCCTGCGTGTAGCCGACCTTGGGCCAAGAGTTTCTCTGTCGATGTAGCACCGGGGAAAGTGGTCCCAATGTTAGCAGAAGCAGCATTCGCCGCCCACCGTGTCCACTGGTGCAACTACATCCTTGTTACGGGGAAAGGCAAGAGCCAAGTTCGCCGACGTTTTTTGACGGGCACGTCTTCAATTTTGACGGTGGGATGTTTGCAGCGGGAGCTCGTGTCAAACTTCAGACTGGATCTCATCGTTTCCTTGACGGCCCCGTCAGGCAAATCCGAGTCCCTGGAACCCGAGGCTTACGTCTCTCCGATTGTCCTGGCAACGACTACCAGCTAGCAACAGTACGGCATGAACATTGGGGCTTGTGGTCGTTCGAAGACAATTTCGCTGCCATCCCCGAATCGAAACGATAAATGAGAAGATTATGCGAGGCGACCTGATAATATTAACTTATATGTGTCATTCGCCGTCGTGACTGCCTTTGATTGTCTGCATGTAAGGTCCACGTGCTCACTCCACTCTGGCCCCCTCTGCTCCGATATGCTCCACTGCGTTCTTTTCCATCTTCATGGGCTAGCTGCGCCCTGCTCCACTCTTGACTCTACACTCCACTGCGCTGAGCTCCGCTCACGCGTATTCTTTTGCTCACTACCACTGGCACGACAGATGTAATGCGTCAATATCAATGTCCTTCTGAGTACACTCGGGAGAATGTTTTCAGCGAGCGTCACAATTCAAAGAGTCCTCACATTCGCGACGTTGCGTGTGCCCTGTCCTTATGCATTGTCTATTGCCCGTCTCTCCTATGGCATCTTGTGGGGTTGCGCCCACCCATGCTTGCCGTGGCTGCCTCAGAGGTTGCGGCCATGTCGACCAGTCTCCAGGAATTGTCGGACGAGGATGCCGCAGGGATCGGGCATGGTCAAGGGCAGTTCGGGGCACAACCACACAAATGGCGGTGTCTTTGGATGAGGATTGTGTTCTGGATCAGCCACACTTGGCGCACTCCGTACAGTGGGGATTGCTCATGAGCCACCCGCGATCGGCCATTTGGTAGCAACGGGTTTCGCGGAGCAAGTCCTCGTTTTGAAAAAATGCACTGCTGCGGCCTCCTCCGTCCTCCTCTCGCCTTCCTCATCCCTGCCTGGTCTTGCCTCTTGCCTCATACCTCGTACTTTCCTCGTAGCCTGCCTATGCGTAACGGCTTCTCGCACATGGTATGGCCTGTCCTGTCCACATATGCGCATATCTTTATTCACACTTTTCGATGGGCTTCGCGCGCATATCCTCAGCCTCTCCCTTACCCCATGTGTTCGTAATCATTCGTGGCCGCGGACTTGGAACCTGACGCACTTCACTACACCACCCCATGTTCTATGGGTTGAAAGCTGTCTTGCTTTCCATTCACTCTGTTCCCTCCCTCTGCCTCCGCCTCATCCTCCTTCATCGTCTTAGACCGTGTGGTTTGCTCGGTCTGGCGCATCCCGTCCCTGCGCAAAGCTTCTTTTCTGGAAGCAGGGGCTCTGTGCAGCGGCGTCGATGCACGTTGACTGGCGTCTTGCGGCGTCTCCGACGCCGCTCCCGGCGCGCCTTCTGCGCGCCAGGGGGGGGAGAGGGGCCAGCGCTGGCCCGAGAAAGTTGCACAGAGCACATCAGGCGTTGCAGGAAGGGCCTCGCCTCCGAGGACCAAAGGAGTTATCATCTCTTCCTCGGCGGAGGGCGGCGGAGGGGCGGCGGAAGGTCGGCGCAAGTACAACGAAGCCGCCTCCGCCAGCGGGAGCCGCCGGAAGGGCGGCGGAAGGCGGCGGAAGTAAAAGATGCGCCCCCAACAAATGAAAACGTTTTTCGGTGCAGGGTTCCTGAAATCGCCCATCTGAGAGTTAGTTGGTTATTCAGTTGCTTGTCCTTTCATTGCCGCCACCTGTCATATACGGAGGCTGTCCAACTGTTCGAGGCGCCTCAACTTGGGTGGATTACTGCTGCACATGGCACACAGACATACAAGATTCTGTCAGCAAATTTGCCACATGTCACCCCATGCGTATCTGGCGGTTTGTCAGCGCAGGTCACTCTCCAGTTCGTGCGCTTGGGGTCACACCACATGCTGAGGGCACGAAGCACCGAGGCCGTTGACCAGCGCACTGATTTGTAAAAGCGGCAATGCCGTCAGTTTCTGTCGTCGGCATTGTTGCGAGATCTTCCTTCCCACGCGGCCGCGCGCAGTGCGAACTAATGGTAGGATGTGGGGAAGACGGGCGTCCAGCTTAGCCCAGGTCACGCAGGCTTCCGCACGACATTCAATATATGGCAACGCAGGTAAACGGAAATGTTGGAGCTGTTATATCATTCGGGCACAATGGTGCGACGTTTCAAACTGTCAAGCACAGCAGAGTCGATCTTCTTGGCCGACGCTCCACATTTAGAAATCGCCAATGATGTCCCATTGGTCTTGTACCTTGTCGATGAGGAAGAGGAGAAGGAGGAGGAGGAGGAGGAACCCGCTGCACCCGCCAAAACTCCACATAAGGCCAGAGGGCCACAGGGGGGAAGTGTGGCACCTAGATCCATCACGGTGTGCGCAATGTCTAGTATGTCTACCGACACGTTCTAGGTTGTTCTTGCCGAGTGTTGCGCAACGACGAACAACCCTCTTTGCCCCAGCATCGGCATGAGCGCACCCCACATCAAAATGCACCCGCGAGCTGCGCTTCATTCGACAAAAACTCATATCAACCAGCACGTGTGAGTAAGCCCGAGTACTGGAGTCTGGGAGATACTTTCAGCTACTTGCCTTGACTGACCTAAGTCAACACGTTCTGACAATCACTGCCCACATCGGTAGGACCCGCGAGTGATGAGCTAAGGGCCCCAAAGACTCAATGTTCAGCCCGTTGTGGAATTTGTAGAACGGGCGTCAAGCAAAGGGGCAGAAACTTGACAGAGCAGCGTTGTTGTTCTATATAGCTTACCGTTGTGAGAAAACAGGCTCCTCTCGAAAGCCTCGAGACGGAATGCCTCGCACAGGGGCTAGCCGGAAAGTCCATCAGTCGGCAGGGCAGGCTGGAATTGTAATAGTGAGCATCGGCCGTCCATGTAAGTCACCCGCAGAGGCGAGACAATAACAGCGGTTCGCCGCCTTGGCCGGAGAGTCGTTCTCATCTAGGGAGTCGGCGCGAGGGCGCAAAGCTATTGCTCTTCGCGCAGCGCGAAGCGGGAAACTAGGCGACCTAGCATGTGGTTTTTTACAGACTGCCTTCAGGATCCTGCCTGCCTCGTCGTCGTCGAGCACCTCCACAAGCTCGGCTTCAGGGCCGCGCGCTTTCTACTGTGGCCGATCCTAGCTTGATTGTGCTGTTTGTGTACTCGTTGTATGTCTCTCTTTCTCTCTCTCTCTCTCTCTCTCTTTATCTCTCCGTCTCTCCGTACCTCACTCAGCTTTTCTTGGGCCTCCTCCCTCCTCCTCCTCCCCTTCCCTGTCTCCCCAGGCGGGTCCGGGCGGGTCCGTGGCCAGTTTGGCTCAAGTAATTGGCAGTCCGCGACAGAGCATGGATACCGCTGCGCGGTTGCTTTCGTTTTCGCCTGGTCCGCCCAAGGCTGCGGTAGTGCGTGGTCCGCCCCACGCGTGGCTGGCTTTTCCCGACCTCTCGCACCACGCAGTGTGAGGCCGCACGTCTGAGAAAGATGGACACGTCAATTGCGATGGTTGCGGATTCAAGATGAACTGGAAAGGTCGTGGCAAGTGCTTTCAAATGCAGCAAGCCGTTGGAGTTTCCGCCGCCATGTAGGACACTGCCAGTTCAAGGAATATGGGAGAAATGGCCCCCGCAGGCAGCGGAGGAGGAAGCAGGCTGGTCATCTTGGAAGGAGTGGTCTAAGGCTCGCCGCGGACGCAAAGCCGAAGACAGCCCGAGGCAGCGAGAGTTGGGAGTAGCGCCCGCACTCTGTCGAGCAAACTCATGAAGAACTGACCCAAGTTCTTCAAGCTGCGGCGCCACACATCGCCCAGACACTGGCCACCATCGGACTGGACCCACCACCTGCGCCGCCCAAGTCCGAGACGCCACGCAAGGCGCACAACGGGGCGGAGGCAGCGGCGGAAGCGGGTCACTCTAGCAATGAAGAGTGCGGCAGAGAATGAGCGCAAGGCCCCCGACTGCCACAACGATTGCAAGAAGGCTACGGAGGAGACGGCGTACCAGCGTGCTGTGGCACAGGCCGAGGCCGAGGAACCGCTGCAGGGGGTTTGACGAAGGTCTGGCGCAGCGTTGCCGCCACATGGATTGAGGACGCGCCTCCAGTATTGATCTCAAAGTTCAAATGGCGCCCGTCGAGGCTTCTATTAGCGCATTTAGCGACGCATGGCGTCACGGCTTTTATTTCGACGAGCGCGCTGCAAGTAGTTCATCCAATTGCTCGCTGGCTTTTCTTGAAGGACTGTTGGCCAACAACGTCGTTGAAGAACTGAAGTGTCAAGATGGCACGTGATGCTCTTCGAGTTCTGCACCATGAGGCGCGACGGCCCATGACACGGCGCGCTTCGCGCGTCCCGATGCTTTCAGAGCCAGACATTCGCCCGCCAGTCGTTCTGTCCGAGCACCCTCTGCAATTTTAACGGGTTCCACCACGAGGACACTCCAGACCGGCGCGAAGTGATGAGTCCAGATGTTCATGCTTTTGGCGCGGCGTTGGCGGCGGAGAGGCGTCATCGACTCGATGGTGCTCTCTGCGCCAAGTGGAAGCATGGAGGCACAGATGCGCCCTCAGCCGACGAGAGACGCACGTGGCCCTTCTTCGGGATAAGTTTGGCTGGACCCCGGACAGGTGAAGAAGCATCTTGCTTTGACAGCAGCCGACTCGAAGAGTACCTGCTTGCCGGCCATTGAGGAAGTGCTGCCAGTGACGCTGATTGCTCAGAGAGATCTTGTGACGGCGACGTTGCGCGCGCGCCGCTTACTTTGCAACAGTCCTACCCTGGCTTGGACGTCGGCCCGCATGGGGGTTACGACGAAAACAAATTACATATGTTCTTTAAACACTGGCCGTGGCTGATGCGACGATTCGACGTGCACTTTTGCTCCCTTCTGCATCCTCCAGGGGCCTCCTGCCTTTTCCTTTGGCCTCCTGGGGCTTCCGGTTGCCTCCTGGGACCCCACGCGTCCACCTGGAGCCTTCTTTGGCCTCCGGTGTATTCCTCCTTCTCCTTCTCCTGCCGCGCCCCCCTCATCCGCCTGCTCCTCCTCCTCCTCCTCCTCCTCCTCCTCCTTCGGCTCCCGCTCGAAACGACGCCATCGAGACTTCCTCCAGACTCATGCCTCAGAAACACAAAAGAGACGACAACTATAGGTCTGGGATGACACATTCGGATTAGTAGTATGGTCTGGCGGCCCCACATGGACAGAGCTTCCGCTCGAGACTTCCTCCACATGCTTCAGGAGCCCAGAAGTGACAAAAGTTACAGGTTCTGGATGACCCGCTCGGGTCAGTAGCATGATATGGCGGCGTCTTACCGAGAAAGCCCCCGCTCAAGATTTCCGCGCAATCCATTCAAAGACGAGGCCCCCACTCGGGACATCTTCCAGATTCATGCTTGAGGAGCCCAAGAATGACGACGGTTACCGATTCTGGATGACCCGCCCAGATTTGTAACATGATCATGCGGCCCCACAGGGAGGGAGCCCCCGTTCGAGACTTCTGACAATTCGGTCAGAGATGAGGCCCCGGCTCAAGACGTCCTCCGGAATGACGCCTGAAGAGCCCAGAAGTGACGACGGATACTGGTTTTGCATGGCCCGCTTGGATTGGTAACCTGACCTGCCGGCTTCATAGGGCAGGGGCCCCCGTTCGAGATTTCTTCACAAGACACTTAGACACGAGGCCCCCGTTCGAGACGCCATCCATCTTTGCGCCTCAGGAGCGCAAGAGAAACGACAGCTACAGCTTCTGGATGATCCGCTCGGGTTGGTAACATGATCTGGCGGCCCCATAGGGAGGGGATCCCGTTCGAGACTCCCTCACAATTCAGGATGAGACGTGGCCCCCGACCGGGATGTCTTCAAGGGGACTACGTGAGTGCGTGAGCACGTGTGAATGTGATGACGGCGACCGGTGATCATGATAGGATGACGACAGTGATGATGATGATGATGATGATGATGATGATGATGATGATGATGATGATGATGATGATGATGATGGCGCGATGGTGGCGATGAGTGCGAAAGAGAGGAGGTTTAGTAGCATGATCTGGCGTGGTCATAGGGAGAAACCCCCTCTCAAGATTTCCGCACAATCCATTCAAAGATGAGGCCCCCATTCGGGACATCCCCGAGATTCATGCCTGAGGGGCCCAGAAATGACGACGGCTACCGATTCTGGATGACCCTCCCAGATTAGTAACATGATCCTGCGGCTCCACAGGGAGGGGGCCCTGTTCGAGAAGTTTGGCAAGTCAGTCAGAGTCGAGGCCCTGGCTCGAGACGTCCTCCAGAATGTGTGTATATATATATACATATACATACAACACGGGTGACATGATAATATTTCTATATATATATATAAACAAAAAATAAAAAGTAGATGCGAGGAGGATGATATTCGCTTAGCTTGGCCATTCTAATCCGCACAGCTGCAGATGTAGGGTTCCCAGTTTTGACCGCGGCCTTCGAAGCGCAGGCGCATTGATCACCGAGGTCACTCCGGAGCGCAGGGGAGGGGGGGGGGCGGGGGGGGGGCGCGCTTGCCCGACCACCCCACTCGCTCCGCGGTGGCAGAACAGGATCGTGCCTAAGGGCGCCTCTGTCCAATATGTTTCTGCTTCCGATTCTGGACAAAACCCATTGGGACCGCAGTGTGCCGACTGTGGTCTTTTATCGATGAAACCGTTTTGAGGATGGAAAGATGCGCCGAATATGTTGCGGCAGGCCTGTCCCGAGCAGCAGGCTTCTCAACCAGGGCGCTGAAAGAGCGGAAATCTTGTGGTTTCTGAGAAAACGAAGGCTTTTTCAACTTCGAGTGAAGTGCACAGCCCAATTTATCAGAAGTTTGAGGTCGTCGCCGCTCCTGTTGGACAGGCCAACGCTTCGGTCAATTTAGGATGTGACGCTGGATTCTGCAATTGAGGCACGCAGTCGGAGAAAGGCGAAAGCCCGCCTAGCAAATGCCACGAAGAGATGTAAGAGGAGTCGCAAAATGAGAAGACTGGCTAAGTTTTCAAAGATCGCAGGCTCGCTCTGGACAACGGGGGCCCTGCCTCAAGCGGGCCACGGGCACCAGACGTTAGACGGCATTTAGACAGCAAGCCTCATAGGCAGTCGTGGGCAAAGGAGCGGGCCGATGTTTCACGAACGCGTTAGCCCTGCATCTGGGCCGCAGGGACCCAGCTGTTGAGCTCTGCCGGCAGCTTGTTTTAGACGTCCTGCTGTTTTGGAAACCCTCACCCGCCGTCCACCCTGGTATCCCGCAGGCTTGGAAGCTTCTGACCCCTCGGCTTTGGAACACCACCCCTCGTTGGAGGAGGGCGAACGGCCATGTAGGAGTGGTTGCTGCCACCTTGCATGTGGCAGGGTGGATTCCGTCGGGCGGCCGATTCTTGGCGCAGGCCAGCGCGGGTTCCGAGCGAGGTTCGGAGGCTACCCCGCACAGACGAGCCAGGCGTCGAGTAGGGTGATGCGGATTTCATTAAGCTGCTCGACGACCTGGCCCAAGACCTCACGACCCAGCTTTGGTCCCGCGCCGAGGGCCACTATAATGTAGAACGGCTGGGGCTGGGAGGCGGACATTTGCTGTTGGCGGGAATGGAAGTCAAGCGATGTGTTGCTGAAGGCGAGTTGAATTGTCCAGGTACGCAAAATGCTGCAGTTCTGGGGGGGGGGCCAGTGGACCAGGGTCCGTCAGATGAGCTGCGGGTATGCGGTGGGCACATTGTGCCCACGTTGACATCAAGAACCCGAAAAGGCTGCGTCATAGGATTTGGAGACGCCCGTGCAACCTAGGCCCCGAATTTGACAATACTCAGCCCCGAGTTCGGCTCAAGTAAACGTTTGGGCCCCAAGCGCGACAGCGAGTTTGCAATCACCACACCCACATATCGGATTCGAATAGACTGTCGGCAGCTGACAGTTTGAACTTTGTCGAGATGGCGAGCTCGGGAAAGCGCAGCACCGAACCATCAGGGCTCACCCCAGAACAGCCCAAGGCAAAGCACCAGGCACTCGAAGATACCTCGGATGTGGACTTGGCCGACGCTGGCGAAATTACACCCGTGGGAGAAGAACCTCCGGCGTGGTTCAAGCAGTTCGAGCGTCGCCACAG